GGGGGGGGGGAGGAAGCAGCTCATCACCATGGTTACCAGCATCTTTGCAAAGTTCTTCGCATCCATCTGGTTTCATTTTCAGCCCTTTTCATCTCACGGAGGGAACATCCCTTGATGTTTCTGGCTGCACCAGCCGCGGCAGACAGCGTGGTGGGTTAGAGGAGGCGCGTGGGAGGTGGGAGACGGGCACGCGTTGCCTCCCAGCCCCTGAGACGAAGCCTAACATCGACTCGAGTCGTTTAACCTCCTGGCCCTCCATTTCCCGCCCAACACAACTCAACCAGCATGCGCTCGCTGATGGGATTCGGGTGGTGTTTTCTCAGTCTGGTGCCCAGCAGGGATTGCTGCGTCCTGGACCATGAGCTCCAGCCTGGGTGTACCCACGCGGAGGCATCTCATCTCGGGGAGCCAGGCCCAGCTCTGCTGAATAATCCCAGCGGGATCTGGGCTCGTACCCAGAGCCGATGATGCTGGAGGGTGGCTCTGTGGCCAGAGCCTGGGCTCCTGGATCTGCCTGCAGAGCTCCTGACTGCCAGAGCCTTCCAGCAAATCAATTCTGGAAATGAACAGGATGGACTAATTGAGTTAATCCTGAGAAGTTAATCAATGTCGAGGCGGTTTGGCCAGAAGTCCTGTTTATAATCCATACAGAGATCATTGGTACCTTGTGAAATGGAGGCGCAGCGCAAAGCCAGGCTTTATGGAAACCAGAGGCAGAATCACATCCAGGTCCCGCAGGCTGAGCCCAGGGGTACCGTAACCGGTGCGGGTGCAGGATGCGGCCCACCAGGCGTGGGCCGAGCTTGTGGGGAGTGCTCGTGGGGATCGCGAGGCTCAGGGGCTGCCTGGTTTCCCCTCTCTCTCCAGGTTTTCCATTTGCCCCATCTCTCTGTTCAGCATTAGCAGCTCAGAGCTGCTCGGGGACCAAGAGCAGCCCAAGCCTGGCACCAACCTGGTGCTCAAAAGCGCGGCAAGAGCAGCGGCGTGTCCATCCCAGTGCAAAGGCAGCTAGGGCCCCAGCCAGTCTGGTGCCCAGTTCCTTGGGCTCATCACCGGTCTGGAAGCGCGGCTCAGCAGAGCAGACCGGCCTCTTGCCAGCGAGGTCCGGATTTGGCTTCTCCTTCCCAGGGCTCTGAGATCTCCTGCTCTTGCTCATCAGCTTGGATGGGTCCATCCCCAGAGCAGTGAGGGGCGCCCGATGGGTGACACAGCTGTTTAGCACAGTGCTCGGCCAGCGGGGAGCAGGAGGATGCTGGAAAGCTCTCGCTGCAGCTGGATCCTGCATGGATGTGCTTGTGTCCAGAAGAGAGATGGCCGATGCAAGTCCAGGCACCAAAGGGCAGAGAGCTGGGGACTGCCATGCCCCGTGCTGGGGGAAGCCCCCGTGGAGCTCCCGGACCAGCGGTGAGGAGAAGGAGCACCTGGGACCGGCTTTGCTGCATTTCCAGTCCCTACAATTCAGCACCCAGAACTTTACGCGGCGTTTGCGTGGGAGTCAGGCCACTGTCCCCGACAGAGCCAGCGAGAACCAAACACTGGCTGCTGTCCCGAGAGCTGGCAGCGCTTCCTGGATAAGCCGCTCCGGCTTTGCCAAGGGAACCGCTACCCGGATCGCCTGCCTGGAGCAAACAGGCTGGTTTTTCCTGGGGAAACCCGCAAGCCATGTGTTGGCCTGGGACTGGAGCGCCTGGGCTCTTCACCGGCCAGCAGCTCTCAGCAGAGCCCAACCAGTCCCCAGGAGCACACCAGGGCCAGACTGGGCGTATTGGGGTCTGTGGGGTCTCTGGGGAGGATGCAGTGTTGACTTCCCCCAACATAGTGAATGATAAAAGCCACAGAGGAGGAGGCAGCCTGTGCTTCCCAGCCTGCCTCCATCCCTTATTTTGTTTAATTAATTCCCTCTTGTGCAGTTTGCCAGCGAAGCGCCCGGAATCCTGCCGGGTGCACTTGAAGGGGTTGTTCAGAGACCTAAGCGGGCTGCTTCTGACAGCATCACTGGGATTTAGATGTTTAATTCTCCTCTGGGAACGAGCTTTTCCTTCTCTCCTCCACAGGCGTCATGGTCGGTACTCGCAGCCACTGCGCGGGGGGGCAGCCGGTGCCCCCTCCTGCAGGGAGAGCCCCTCTGCGCAGCGCTCGCTCCGGCTCTCTTTGCCCATCGGCATCAATAATTCACCGTGTTTGGCTTCATCAATAATAAATGTGCATCAGCCTGCCAGCCCGGGGAGGCAGGGACCTCCCCAGCCCCCTCCACAGCCATCCTTGGCACCACCGGGACGGCATCGAGCTCTGGTCCCATCACCAATGTCCCCGGTGCCACCAGCCTTTCCTACCTCGCATCTGCTTTTGCTCGGGTCTGGTTTCACTCTCAGCCAGGGTCAGTGGTCCCCACGTCCGCAGCCCTCTCCCAAAGCCACCCAAGCACGTCTAGAAGAGTAAATGTCAAGGAATGAGCCTTGGGGACAGCAAAGACAGTGCCACATCCCCCCCCCCAGCCTGTGTGGTGCCGGGAGGAGCTTTCCCACCCCTCCAAACAGGCACTGGGTCATCGCTTCCCCCCTCCTCCCCTGTTCTCTCCCCCGATTATTTTCAGCCTTGGTTTGCTGTGCAACTTTGATTAAAACCTTCATCTCCAGTCCCTCCAATTTCCATCTCTCGCTCTTTGCATTGGTGGTTTAGACTAGAGATACAAATATATATTTAATTGGTATAAATAATGCATTTTCATAGCTGAATCCTTCCGTAGCCACATATTTGGTGCCAGAAATAGCATTTTCTTTTCAAACAGGCTTTTCTTTGCGTGTACCTTCCCTTGGCCGGAGCAGATCCCTCCTCAGAGGCCCACAGCTGCGTGCCAGGGACTGCGTTGGGTTTGCAGCCGCTCCAGTTCATCTCTGCTGGACCAGCACACGTCTCACCGGCTCGGTGACGGGGACGTGGCCCAGACAAAGCTGGACGGGGAGCGCTGGCTCCATCTTTGATCAGAAACAACAGCCTGTTTGCACGTGGCTGAGGAGGGCAGCATTTGGGGAGCGCCACGTTCACCCCTGAATGCATCCCCGGAGGCACATTCGACCCTGCCTCATGCCACTGTGGGGGCTGGTGGCAAATCACGGGGGGACAGGGCTGTCCTTGGTCCCCTGTGGCACAGCCAGGGCTCCCAGCAGGTCCCCGCTGGGTGCTGGAGCTCCTAACTAACCCCCCCTTCTCCTGCCCCCCCCCTCTTGCCTTCATTGCAGGGAGCATAATGCTGAACAGCATCACCGATGGGCTCCTGTGCTGCCTGATGGGCAAGACGACGAACGCCGTGGGGCCACTGGACAGTGTTGAGTCCAGCAACGGCTACAGCTTCATGGAGGTGAAGCCGGGGAGGATCCTGCGGGTCAGGCACAGCACTCCCAACCGCCCGGCCCCGGAGGAGCCCGAGGAGATGCAGCCCGGGGGACCGGAGCGGGGCACGGTGCACTGCAAGCGCAAGATCACCGTCTACCGCAACGGGCAGCTGGTGATCGAGAACCTGGGGGACGCCGTCCGCTCCGAGATCCTGCACTGCCAGAACAGCTCGGGGGAACCCAACAGCACCGTGGAGCTGGAGCTCTCCGACCTGGCCGGCCAAACTCCCGCCCAGGGTCCTGCCGGCACGCCAGGATGCGGCACACCGGGATGCGGCACACGGGAGGCAGCCGCTGCCCCCGGCAAGCGTCGGAAGCGTAAACCCAAGAAAGTCGTCAACATTGACTGCAAGAAGCAGATCACGAGCTGCAAAGGGACGCACAGCGACGTGGTCCTCTTCTTCATCCACGGCGTGGGCGGCTCGCTGGACATCTGGAAGGAGCAGCTGGACTTCTTTACCAAGCTGGGCTACGAAGTGGTGGCTCCCGACCTGGCTGGCCACGGCTGCAGCTCAGCTCCCCAAATTGCCGCCGCGTACACCTTCTACGCGCTGGCGGAGGACATGAGGGCGGTCTTCAAGCGCTATGCGAAGAAGAGGAATATCCTGATAGGACACTCATATGGGTAAGGGACATTCATATGGATAAGGGACCAGGGGGTCCCAGGAGGGAAAGGATGGATTCATCCCCGTCATAGAGTCATAGAATCGTTATGGCTGGGAAAGACCTTTAAGATCATCGAGTCCAACCGTTATTTAACTCTGGGCCCTCTTCTAAACCATGTCCCTGAGCACCATATCTAGACGGCTTTTAAATACATCCAAGGATGGCGATTCAACACTTCCCTGGGCAGCCTGGTCCAGTCTTTGATAACCATTTATGTGTAGAAGTTTTTCTTAATGTCTAACCTAAACATCCCCCGTCCTCTCCTTGGCAGCAAACACCCAAGAAATCCTCCACTTTGGGGGCTGAGAGCCAGAGGCGGGGCGTGGGGTTTCCCGTTCTGGGTTTATCCCTCAGCTCTGATCTCCTACATCCTCTTGGTGCGCGTCCCTGGGTCCAGCTAATCCCAGAGCCCGTCCTCCAGCAGGGAACCTGGCAGTGCACAGCCTATAAATAGAGTAAGCCCAAGAAAGTCAATTAGATGGAGACTAAGCAGCGCAGAGAGCAGCCCTGGGAGGAGAGGGAGCCGGAGCCAGGCTCCAAGCTGGGCAGGATTAGATCAGAAGGACGAGGCTGGTCCAGGCTGGTGGGCACCCAAGTGGGTCCCAGCACCCTGCTTTGGTCTGCACAGGAATGAAACCCCGAGCTCAGCCCCTCCATACCAGCTGTGGGGTTTGACCGGGGTTTCCGTGTCCCAGAAAGGGGAGCACGGGTCAAACGAGGGGCTGCAGCCTGGGATCCGGCCATGGATCTTTGGGATCTGCCTTGGGGTGCAGCATCCGCCGGTGCCGTGTGATCATGCCCACCATCTCTCTCTCCCCGCAGGGTGTCCTTCTGCACCTTCCTCGCCCACGAGTACCCAGACCTGGTCCATAAGGTGATCATGATCAACGGAGGGGGCCCGACAGCGCTGGAGCCCAGCCTCTGCTCCATCTTCAACATGCCCACCTGCGTGCTGCACTGCCTGTCCCCGTGCCTGGCATGGAGCTTCCTCAAGTGAGTGGCCATCCTGACACCGCGGCACTGGGGAGGGTTGTCCCTGGCCACCCTGGCTTCCAGCCACCACAGGGACCCCCCAGCAGGGGGGCAGGGACCCCCCACAATCCCATCCCCCGGATGCTGAAGCACCACACGGGGCTAACCCTCTGCCCACGCCGGCTCCATCCCGCAGGGCTGGCTTCGCTCGCCAGGGTGCCAAAGAAAAGCAGCTGCTGAAGGAAGGCAACGCCTTCAACGTGTCCTCCTTCGTGCTGCGCGCCATGATGAGCGGGCAGTACTGGCCGGAGGGCGACGAGGTTTACCACGCGGAGCTGGCCGTGCCTGTGCTCCTGGTCCACGGCATGCACGACAAGTTCGTCCCGGTGGAGGAGGACCAGCGAATGGCCGAGGTAGGGCACCGAGCGGGGCTGGGAGGGTGGGTGAGGGCAGAGGTCTGCCTGCCACCACGCGGCGATGCGGGCAGGGGGTTTGTCCCGGCACTGACGCCTTCTGCTGCCACCGTCTCCCTCCAGATCCTGCTGATCGCCTTCCTGAAGGTGATCGATGAGGGCAGCCACATGGTGATGATGGAGTGTCCCGAGACGGTGAACACGCTGCTCCACGAGTTCGTCCTGTGGGAGCCCGAGACGCCAGCTGGGGACGGGCAAGGGGAGAAGAAATAAGGCGGCGGGACGTGGTGACCGGGCTGCTCCGATGGGAGAGACGTTTCGGAGAGGAGAGGGGTTTGCGAGAGCGGAGGGGTGTGGCGGAGGCTGCCCTTGCCGGCAGCTCAGCCGATTTTCTTTCCCGGCCACATTGGAGGCTGGTCGCGGAGCACGGAGACCCCCCTGGGCAGGGGTGCGTGGGGCCGGCAGCGGGAACACGGCAGACCTGGTCCCCATCCCCTCGGGGACGGCATGGCAGCCGCTGGAGCGTCTTCATCCTGTTTCTTTGTAGTATTAAATTTTCCTCACGCAGCAACACCCCTGGGGAGGGAGAGGAGGTGGCTGCGGAGAGACTGGTCGCACCTGCAGCAAAACGGGAAGAAACTGGGGGGATTCCTCCAGGAAGAGCGCGTTGGCTCTGGCACCTTCCCGGCCAGGGCTGGAGGAGCTGAGCTGGGATTGATTTTAGGGGAAGCCAAAGGTTCCTTGGCCTCAGCAGCGGGATTTGCCTCTCTGAGCCCTGGAGCGCGTCGCTTGAGCTGTCTGTGGGAATTATTGTTGACTAGTCAACTTCTGCACCAACACTTGGGTGATTAAAATCAGATCATTTTAATCTACTTAACACCAGTGGAATTATATTTTGGTCACTAGTTTGTGAAGTTGTGAAGTAGAGAGGAGGGCGAGGAGGTGACCTGCTCGGGTGGGCACGGCCAGAAGGACCACCACCCCCCCCGCCGTGGTGGGACTGGCATGGCTACGGTGGGGAGGACAACACCAAACCTGAGCTCTCCCACGGTCCCCGGTGCCACGGTCCATGCAGTCACGTCCCCAACCACCATCGCTTTAGGTACCGCAGCACCAGCTTCTGCAGATCTTCTGCAAAGTCCTCTGCTTCCCTCCTGCTGCCGCATCCTCGAGATGCTCGGAGCCATCGCCATCACACAGCGACTCCCGCAGCGTCCGATCCGCTCGCCCTTCCCGGCTTCCAGCTCCTCCATGGCTCCGGGACCCACCACCTGCTCCCAGACCGCATCCCTGTCAGGATCCCATCCATCCCTCGTGCACCGGGGGATCAGCAATACGTCGTCACGTTGCCGCTGTGTCCGTCCTTGCTGACAGCTCCTGTGCGGATCCGTGAGGTCTTGGAGTGACGCGGGAGCAACGAAGCAAACCGCAATCGTCTGATCTCAACAGACAACAGCTCGTTACCTGCTGACACCACTCTGTACATAACCCACTGCTCCCATCATCTCCTCCCCTCTGCGCTTCCCATCCCGTTGCCAGGAGCCAGCGAGGGCCGAGAAGGTACACGAGAAGTGTCGAGCAAGGACCCGGGTGCCGTCACGGGATCCGGGGTCCCCTGGCCGCACCGGGATGGGTGGGAGCCCGAGGGAGGCGGGAGGATGCTGTGCTCGGCACAGCCGCTCTCCAGCCCCGTACCCATGCGCTGGGGATGGCCCCAGCCTTCCCGCTCCCCCAGAGCTTTGCTTCCCTCTTATTTCCCCCCCATTTAAACCAAAGAAACAACCAGTCCCACGGAAACCTCACCCTTGGCCCACGTCCCACCACAGTTTCCCCCTTAGCCCCGAACGGGGCTGGCACCACGCCGAGGCACCCCAGGTCAGCTCGAGGGGCTCCCGCCTGCGCGGGGCTGCTCCAACCAGAGCTGGCACCCACCCCCCACGCGCCTTCCCCGAGGCTGAGCCCATCTTTCTCCCCAAAATGAGCGATGTAGAAGAGGAAGGGTCCTTCGCAGCCGGCCCCGGCGTGACGGGGACCCCACGTGACGAGTGTCCCCAGGGAGCCCTCCTCTGTCCCAGCAGAGGGGCAGAGCTGCCCCTCTGCCGGCGCCCGTCCCTGCCCGCTGCTGCCACAACCTGTCTCATAATGAGAATTTTAATGACCCCGGGTTCAGATTGTTTCCACGAGCCTTCC